CCCTCACACTCCTTCTCCTTTTCTTTTTTCTCTTTCTGCCTTGAGCACCAAATAACTTGTTTGCTCTCTCCATCCTGCCGCAAATAGGTGTCCCACCATGTCAATTAGCAACAGGCTACTACCACTCTGGCTACTACTAAATAGACGCTCAGCAGTGCCCCCCTCCTCCCTCCACTGGTGTGAACAAGCACTGAGGACAGTAAAGGAGACGGTGCCCGTTGCAGCAACATCGCTGGTATTTAGAGCATAGTCATGAGTTAAAAGCACAGGAACAGTTTTAAAACACAGATGTCAGTGATATTTTTTTTGTCCCTCCCTCGTTTTGGCGCCCCCCTGGCAGTACGCCCATATACCACATACCCCATTTTTGCACTACTGCATCTCCGTATTTGCCTTTAAATATCCTACTTATTCAAATTACTCACTTGGCACTTTTCTCCAAACTCTTATTTTGTTTTATTCATACCATATTATCCAAACATTAATATTTTGTAAAATAACTTAGAACTCATTTGATCTTCCTGAAAAACTCACTCCTTTTCCATTTCATTTGAAAGCAGTGCTTTTCTCATGTATTCAAACAAATTGTTCTTCAGTAGCCTCGTACAGCCTAGGCTACACTGCCACCAGGCGGTGTTGGGGTGAGAACAAATAGCTTAACAGAACAAAAACACTTACAACTAACATCGCATCCAGAGGGTACCCCTGCCTTGTGCCCAGTTTCCAGGCCTCGCCATGATTTTGACCAAGGAAAGCAGCTGGAAGATGGATGGATGGGTGAACCAAGATGCAGATAAAGTAAAGAATATGAACTATACAATTAATAAAACACAGTTATAAAATTTTTAGGGTATTTTTGATGTTTTTTTCCCTCTGCTGAGTTACATTATTTTGGGGTTCCATTTTTTCAGAATCTCTTAAATACAGTATTCAAAATGAGTAACTTATGAATGACAAGGTTTTGATGTGCAACTTGAGAAAGAGTATAAGAAAAAAACAAAGCCACAAACTTGTGGAGCTGTAATGAAGCACGATTTATTCCAGTAATGGTGAACTTAGAACACAGTGGAGGAAATGACAGTGCACTTTGGGTTTGGTTTGTTTGAATACATTTTGCACCACGTTAAATTACTTGTTGCACTATTTACTTACTAATGACCCACCTGTTTGTACTGAATATTGTATCAGTAATTAGATTCACAGTGTGCCCTGAATCACTACCACTTGTTAACTTCTGATTTATGACACTGTGCTGGAGTTGAGAAGGCACTGCATGTGTCAGTGGCTGTGAATGAGTGAAGTTTCTTAAGCCTGGATACGATTCGCTTAGTGAGGATCACATGACAATGTGATGAACATCATGATGCAGCGAATGAAGATCACTGATGGTATGATGACATGGTGCACATGGCTAGCAAGGAATTAGGGGCATAGTGCATTGGAAGGTAAGCATGGTGTGTGAGGATCCGGATGGGGGACTAATTACTGAGATATTAACATAAGAACAGACAAGACATCATGGAAGGTTCTTTTATGTTATTTTGGTGATCAGGTACAGGTCACTGTGGGGGCTCACCCCCACCCTCTACAGCTTAAGCCACAGGATTCTTCTGTTCAGACTCTGCTTAAATCACGACCAGCTCATATTCACATTGACTTGATGTGCAGCTCATTCTGTCAAGTTCACTTCCACCTTATTCAGCTGCTCAAAGAAAAGCAGAAAGAGTGAAAAGGTTAGGTTGGGACAGCACCAATCACTGGTTCAGCCGTTGACTATGTGGTGAATTGGCGATTAGTGATTAATGACTTGCCTCAAGCCATTTTACAGAGCTCTGTTACCGTGCTGTCTTATTCTGTCAGGACGGCTGGTTATTCATTTACATCAGATGTCATTACAATAATGAGGGCATTCTCCTATTCTTGTTAAGACATCTATGTCATTTTTAATACCCTTGGGTAATTATATCCAAGATTATTATGGTACTTACTAGGGATGTAACGATAACCGTAATATCGCAATATCGCGATAAAATATTTCAACACCATTGTCGGACTGTTACGATATCAACCACGATATCACATGGTTATTTTGCTTGTATAAGCTCCATCTAAAAAAATACATACTACATTAACGAATGCTTTGTGGTCTAATGGCCGTGTGTAACCCACATGACTATAGGTCAGTAAATCCATTACAAAATACTATTTCATCAATAATTTATAAATTGGTCAAATAGAAACAAAAGCACATTTACAGTATATTAAAAAAACTACGGAGCCCCTCTGTGTCACGCCCCGCTCCGTCCGCTCCCGATGTGTGC